CACAATTGTATACCACTTTGTGTTGGTCTTTCACATTAAATTCCAGTGAAATATATTTACGTTTGTGGTTGTAATGTGACAAAATATGGAAACGTTCAAGGGGTATGAATACTTTTGCAAACCACTGTACATGCTGGCACATGTGGCAGTGCCACGCAGTGTCCTGTTTCAATAGCATTTAAATGGTGGTCTGCACAGCCTATAAGGTACAGTAAATGCAACAAGATTGGAAGTTAAAGCAGGCAGAACATTTGAATGAGTTACGATTTTATTTCCACCCCCTTTTCATTATCTGAACTAGAGAAGTAGCTCGCTTTTTACGTGTAGATCTGAACAGCTTTTCTCATTTAGGTGCTTTTAAATTTAGTGGGACAAAAAAATGCAACAAAGTTGTGGATTTTTAGCGTTGGTGGTGACTTTAAATAAACGCTCATGCTTCATGTTGCAGAAATGACTCAAAAACTGATGTTTCAATCCAAACTGGATCTTTACCAGATGAGGATTTTGGACAAACATTTCTGAACACGATCACAGATGTGCCTTCCACTGGGCTAACACGTTTAAGGTGGGGCTGACAGCTCTATTAAACAACCAGTTTTCACATGAAAAAGTTATTTATTTTATTACATCTAGTTTCACAACCGATACCTGTTACCAGATAAAATACTSTTTGCTCACTCACTTTTGCAGTGAGAATATGAGGCATGTTAGAACAAATACTACTGGATGAGCATATCTTTATTATCATAGAATGCAAATGTTTTAGCTACTGAAGATAACATCTGACTATCTCATTTTATTTTATTGAGTAGCTCTTCAAAGAGACTCTTTTTCTTATTTCTGCTGCCTTTCATTTTTATTTGATTTATATTATTTGTTTTGTTTTTTTTTAATGAAAAATGAATACATTTTACTACTACTACTAATTTACTCATGCCGAGGAGAACAGTTTCAGTCAGACYTTTACAGATCGTAGTTTTGGTTCGAGCTGAATGAGCCGCTCAAAGACTTTGTTTCCTGCTGCCGCGTACAAACAAATCTTTGCAAACAAAAGTTGCCATGGTCTCTGTTATATTTATGTCCCGAGGAGAATCGTCTGGTAATGTTAGTGATTCCTTAGTTTCTTTTGTTTGGACCCAGACAACTTGTTGTCAGAAGCTAACGTTAGCACTGAACTGGACGTAAACATGCAGCAAGCCAGGAGTGACACAAAATATTGAAACACACCTCAGCTTTATCAGACACAAGACGCCATGGGGAAAAATCAATCTAATACACCTAGGAATCGATGTTCCCAAATTTAAATGAAACTGATCAAAGAACGACTAAATCTATTTTTTACCCAGCCTTATTAATCTCAACTACATAAAAAAACCTTACTACTACTACTTTTACTACTACTACTACTGATCAAAATACAAACTATGACATTAATGTTAACTACAGTGTTTAGTTCTTAAAGTCGTTGTTAAAATACAGGAATAGCAATATATGGCATGTTTTTTTATATTTTATTTTCTTAAATAAGTTGTATTAATACTTGCAAATCTCTGAAACAAATGTTATTTCTTTGTATGTGGGATACAAAAAGTTGCTTAGGATTAAATTTGGAAAGTCAAAACTTTTGTTAAGGTTTTAAACTGCTGCACTTTATGTAAAACCTTAAAGCATCAAAAGAAAATTTATCTATGAAAGTTTAGTCAGTTTACGTAAAAAAAACAGCACAATCCATGCCTGTTTATATGAAACAGTTCTCATAAACATTTAAAACTCACTTCAGTTTATTTAGATATTATCGTAACTAATGTATTAAACATGCAATAACAACAAGGCTTTTATCTAAAAGGGTGTTGTGGAGTTATTTCTGTGTAAAGATGCCCTCAGTGCGCTAGATGGAGATTTTACAGCTTCAGCAGTGGTTGGTGCCACAATATCTGCTCCCTGTCTGTCTGAAAATTAAAGTTTGTCTCACCATAAACTTGAGGGGGAAACACCCTCCTCAGAAATCTACCTAAAAGCCTGGTAACAACACACTGTTAGAACTGCAATGTAACGTTACAGGCAAACAAGCTGCATGCTCACTGAGCTTCTGTAGCTAACTTGCAGCTATCATTCATACTGTAAAGCAAATCATTGTGACAGAAACTGAACACGGGCCCAAACCCACAAACAATTAATAAAAATAAGATGATAAATCATGCTCTTCAGGAAAACAAACAAAGCTAAAATGTGTCAGCCATTGATAGATATTACATTTTGTTGTTAATGTTTAACTTTATCAACAATTTGGTTGCAAGTCCTGTATTAAATGACAATCAAGTTGAACAATTTGTTCTTATCAAAATAATGAACAATGTCATACCTGCAGATTTTCAGACAAGTCAAAGTATTTAGGCACTGCATCCTCATTAAGGCGAACCCTTTTCTCTTTATGGACGATTTCTTCTGGTGCAAAATGAATGCTGCATATTCTGGTAGTTGATGAAGGCTCGGACTCTCGCCGACAAGCAGTTGCCCACAGTCGGTACAGTTTCTCTTTCTTCTTTTTGTCTGGAAATCTGAAAGACACACATTGGGAGAAGATTGTAGAAAACATGACATCATGGCAAGCTGACATTTTGACAAGTCTTGTCACAAGGGTTGTTTAGGTGAACCATGCAGTTCAACCATTGCTCTTAGTTTATAATTAGCGAGTCTACGTCATGATACATGGACTATCACGCAGTCTAAATGGTCAGTTTTTCATCGAAAATCCACATTACCAATTTAACAGCAGGAGACACTATCATTAGCAATAATCGACAAAATGTAAACAACGAAGCTTTTAGCATCGGTTTTACAATTCAAATAATTGATTTTAGTTGCGCGTATTATTTACCTGTGAAAAGTAATCCCCATTGCTCTTGTGACCTTATTGTCATAGTTTTTGCAGTTTATAGCAAAGCACTGAGTGCCGCGTGTAATTTCTTTACGTGTTTGTTTGTACGGCGCCATGTTCTYCTTATTGCATGAAGATGTCGCTTGCTTTGCGTATCACGCGCAGGTCACGTGACGTGCAATGCTTACGTTGCGTCATCGACGTGCGTCAGCTGCGGACTTCAGCTAGATTGGATCTGAGGATTGGATTGGATCAGTGTCTGGGACAAAGGGATATACCAGTTGATATAAAGATGAGCTCAACTCATTCTTTTTGGCATTGCAGTCTGTGCAGCTAAATTTTTGATAATGGTTGACTTTGAAAGTTAAAACGAAAAACTTTTCCTTGGGGATGCATCAAAGATCCTCTCGCTTAGCAAAGTCTGGAGCATAAGAGTTGACCCAGTTTCAGCACCCATGGGATATTACAACATCACTCCATTGTGGTGTGGTCTGGGTTTAACAAAGCTGTCCTGTTAGTTTAGCTTATTGCTTCTAGGTAGAGGAATTGGAAGCTGCAGAAGCATAAAATTCTCACTTTTCACTTTATGGGTGCAGCCTTAGTAAAATTTCTTTCTTTCTTTCTTTCTTTCTTTCTTTCTTTCTTTCTTTCTTTCTTTC